AGTTCTTTCAGCTTCTGCTATGTTACTGTAGCATTTCCCCTGAACTAATCGCAGATCCGCAAATTCGTGAAAGAAAATTCAAAGTAAGTCACAGTATGACAGATTATTGTTATTATTGACAAGGGCTATCCACTTGTAACTATCTGTTAATGGCAAAAAACATCATTGCCGCTGTGCGTTTTCATCAAAAAATTGTAGAACAGAACTTTTTCAATATCGAAAATGTTCGTAATTTGAAGCAAAGATCGGAATTTTTCTTTTTCAATGCTTAAGTATTCCAATATGCCACCAATTAAACATAGAACAATTTCAAAATAATGCCTAATAGCAAAGTTGAAATTCGATCTTCAACTGTTAATATCTTCTAGAAATTTTCGAAAAAAAATTTGTCAATATTTTTCTCGTACTCCCCAAGTGATGGAGGCTCCTCCATCACCCCTCAAAAGGAATGACACCAATTTCGAATCACCCTGTATGTCTGGCGTCTTTAATCTAATAGCGGTTGAAATGGAACTTTGGATAAGAGCAGCGAGAAAATCTAGATAAGGAAACGTGAGGAGGTAAGGAAGCAAACGAAAGTAAAGGGAACAATTAGAGAAGACATTGGAAACAGCCATTAATATGGTACGAACGTAGTGAGTGAGCCTCCAAGTGAGCCTCCATCACCCCTTAAAAGAAATGACGCCAATTTTGAATTACCCTGTATATACAGGGTGATTCACAATTGGTGTCCTTGTGTTGTCTGGGGCTGTGTCGGAACCCCAGGAAAATCAATAAAAAAACTGAAATTCTCATCAAAAACTGAAATATTTGCAAAAAACTAGATCAGAATGTCGGCAACAATGTTTCAAAGGTAATCTGCCTCATAGACATTAAATACATAAATACTTTTGACGCATGAACATCAAAGGTACTCATACCCGGAAAGTGAGGTTCAAGTGCAATGAAATAGGTTAGAGTAACCCGTAACGAATGTCCAGAAACCCTTTCAGGTTAAACATCGTGGCGATTGCAGATATTTTATCGCAATTAGTACTTGCGCGTTTCATTGCCATGTTGCGCGATTGCTACCTCCTGCATTGGCGAATTAAATTATAACCTCAGAAAAACACAGTTTCTAGCACCTTTTTACATCGGTTTGGAGCTGCATTTCATGCTACATTCTACATTAGTGCTTTAGGCAAATTGGTTTTTATAGGACTCTATTCTCTATCCACCCGTCCACTATGGGTTTCGACTCTTCGAGTTTGTATAATCATGGAAATAAATACGTTCATGCAGCATTTGCTGGTTGTAATTTTTTTTAGGAAATACGCTTGTTTTCAATGGGTTGATTCACAAAACGAATGTTACTTATGGGTTTTTAACGCAAAGAAAAACACTAGGTGATGTTGAAGTAGACGCTCTCCACTGTTAATGTCTTGTTAATGTCACCCCACAAAAAGGTTGTGGAAAAAACGCCAAAAAGGCTGGGTTGGCAACAGTGCCGCCATTCGCAAAAGTCCCAATTGATGGACTAGAACGCCAGCTCTTACCACTCATTTAACGTGGACGTTTATTAAGATTGATCAGCATGCTCTGTGTCTTTATCGCGTTCGTTGACAACTCCCGATCGGTAATCCCTAATCCGGCCAGGGAACACTGTCCCCCCACCACTCCCCTTACAGCCAACAGTATCTGTATCGTGTTAGTGCGATTATCACGCGTGAATCCCCGCGCGTCCTGCCACGTGCCGACCCACGCGCTAATCCTTGTTGGCCCAACACTCGATCAGATTTTATTACAGTTTCCCATGATGACCCCCAATCGATACCTCCTACCATCCCCCTCGCTCAGGCCACCCTTTCACGACTGACTAGATACAGTTGTAATTGAAATAATTACCTCTTTGCCAGCGTACGGTTAGAGGGTTGTTAATCAACCCTCCGATTCTCAACGTGGAAGTTAAGACGCGAAAGTAATCCACCGCCAGTCTGATTGGTTTCAATGACAAGTGACAGTTGACGTTGTTGTTGTTGTTACAAGTGACAAGTGACGCTCATTTGAGGTTAGTGGTTTGAAATGGGCGGCCAAAATGTCGGTAACCGGGTTTTTTTCCCGTTTCAACCCTTTTTGGATCGATGTGCCTGGATGGGGACGCGAGCGGGCAGGCAAAGGGGGCCCTGTTTTGTTCCAGCAACGACCGGTGTCGCTGCGTTGACAGCGACTAAGTGTGTTTCTGGCGGCGGCAGCTATCGTGAGGTTCCGCTCCATTACTCCGACGCTTTTGTCTCGCCGTCGTTGACGGACAGCCGATAAGGCGATGCCGGCACGTTGTGCCCCCCTTAGGAAATTACACGTGCTCCCCATATTGTGCTCGACTTTATACAACCAACATTACATCTCCTATGGGCGCAACCGGGTGCACCTGACACCGGCCTGTCACTGTCGCTGTCATTGTCACGGAAAAACTGAAAAAAACCCCAAATTTCCAGTGCCCCAACGCTCCCAATGAGCAAGCGGGAAATCATCCAGATTCACATCGGGCAGGCGGGCGTCCAGATCGCCAGCGCCTGCTGGGAGCTCTACTGCTTGGAGCACGGCATCCAAGTGGACGGACGCTTCTTCCAAGGCTACGACGCGGCCGATCACAGTTGCGACGCCTTCTTCAGCATCACGGCGTCCGGCCAGGCGGTGCCGCGTGTCCTCATGATCGACCTGGAGCCAACCGTCATAGACGAGATCCGCACCAACTACTACAGGAACCTGTTCCATCCGGATGGACTACTCTCCGGTAGGTGGCGGGTTTCAACCCCCTCGTCTTGATATCTTTTACCTAATTCTATCCTCTTCCTCAAAGGACAGTCGGGTTCTCGCCCCTGTTGCTTGAAACTCGTCAGTTTTTCAGGCTTTAAGGACGTCGTGGAATTGAATGTTCGCAAGCCACTCGCAGTTTTAAGGATCATCAATGTTGGCCGTCTTCCTTTTTTTCTCTTCACTGGGTGTATCCATTCTAATATCTTGCTCTGTAGCAATTTCCGCCCATACGTTCGTACCATATTAATGGCTGTTTCCAATGTCTTCTCTAATTCTTCCCTTTACTTTCGTTTGCTTCCTTACCTCCTCACGTTTTCTTATCTAGATTTTCTCGCTGCTCTTCTCCAAAGTTCCACTTCAACCGCCATTAGATTAGAGACACCAGACATACAGGGTGATTCGAAATTGGCGTCATTCCTTTTAAGGGGTGATGGAGGAGCCTGCATCACTTGGGGAGTACGAGAAAAATATAGAATTTTTTTTTTCGAAAATTTCTAGAAGATATTAACAGTTGAAGATCGAATTTCAACTTTGTTATTAAGCATTATTTTGAAATGGTTCCATGTTTAATTGGTAGCAT